TTGTTATAATATTTTACTGCCAGGTAGCTGTCTATATAAGGAGTAACTTAGGCCATTTTTCCTCTCAGTGACGCGGGTACCAGTTATTAGCTCATTAGAGCCACCCGGCACCCGATCAGCACCGCCTCGCCTCGAGCGGATTCTTTGTAAGGAGTAGTATGGGTAAACGCTCACTATATCAACTCCGGAGAGCCTCGCCCGCGGGTGGACCGCCAGGTGACCGGGCGCAGTACGCGAGTGGTTCCCGCATCGGTCGGCACACCGTTCCCCCTCGAACGTGTCTGTCGTATCGTTTTCTGGTTAACAGCCACTACCACCCGTCGAGAACGAGTGGACACCGAGTGGAGGTGGTGCTGGTCGGGTGTCAGGTGAGTGTAATGACCTAAGCCTTAATGGCGTCTGGCCTTTCAACTAACCTATTCTTTGAACGTTCCAACATTTTTTTATTTTTTTTTATTTATTTATTAACCCAGATAAGCCTACAGTTCCATATATAGGACGGTACAAATTAACAGAATATATTTAATGGATTTGTAGTGACAAGCTAATGTGCTATTGAAATAAAAATTAAAAAGGTGCAGTTATGAAATGTTATCCATTTTATAAATATTTCATTGAAAAGTATATCTAAAAGTGCATTGCAGACATATGGGACAGTAGACTTATCTGGGTTAAATCTATTTTTTTTGCTTGTAGTACCGTGAAAATTAAACAATCTAAGTATAGTTGTTTTAGAAGCGATTAATGGTACAAGAATTATTAAAAAACACCAGTAATGGATATCATTTCTACTATAATATTCTGTGGTAAGCAGTCTCCTAAGACTTAACTTGCGCATATCGAAAGTTTGCGTGTTTCGATATAACAATATTCTAGAAGTAATATCAGTAAAAGTATTTCTAGAACGTTCCTTTACAAAACATACAACAGAACAATGTTACGCACGATAATTACATGCTCGGGTTTGTTGTTGTTTTTACTTTTCCTTGCAATAATTAGCATACGTCACAAGATAAAGAGGTTATAACAGAGAAAATCTGATGTTTTGCGCCAAAAAAAAGTTAAAAATAATAACGACGGGGTCACAGTTTGAAACAAAACAACTTTACGATGTAGGTAATAGCTGCCTTCTCATTAGGGTGTTGCGATATGAGTATTTGTAAGTGTACTCACCGACAAAAGTGTTATGTATATTTTTTTTTTATTAAAAAGCCTTTCATTTCATGCAGCTACAAAATATTTGATTTTACATGACATGCTTGATTGTTCAATATTATTATAATTAAGTATATATTTTTTATTCCATTTAACTTCGTATTAAATATAAATAATAATAAATTATTATGGCAATCGTTTCATAATTTAAATTTAAATTAAAAATGTTATGTGAATAACTTTAATAAAAATAAATTATGGTATTCAAAGAAGAAGGTTGAAAAAATAAAACAGCCAAATACCTACTTGTGGGACGGACAAGAAAAAATAAACTTACCACTCAATTAGATTATGTATCTTAAAAAATAAAACTCATAAACGTCACTAAACTAAGAATTCCTTACTTGCTTACTACGAAACTCAAAAAGAGTCTATATTAATAAATAAATAACATGCATCATCTTGTACTTGCCAGTATTAAATTCTGATCTCAAAATAAATAACTACAAAAGTTTTATATATATATATATATATATATATATATATATATATATTAGAGGGGGCAGACGAGCAGACGGGTCACCTGATGGAAAGTGACTATCGTCGTCAATGAATGTCTGCAACTCAGGAGAACATTTAAAAAGCTTTTTATTTCAAATACCAGAAGAAGTCAACACAGCAAACATCTTTACATGAAAAAATAATTGAGAAGACACACCAAACAAGTAATATATATATGGCTATAGACACATCGCTGTGCTAATTTTTATTTTTTAAGTGTAACTTTTTTGTGGACAAGTGTACTGAGCATTATAAATCCGGTGTAACGCTCATTTCAAAACGATAATTAAGCGACAGCCGCTCGTTGGTAACAAAAGGTGCCTTGTTTATGACGGCAGTGCGTCCGTCCGTATGCATACAATGTGTGTGCTTTATTGAGGAATATCATATTGAACACATCTACTATTTATTAGATCATAATATTAAGGTGTGTGTGTGCCATATGTTGGTACAGTCAAAAGCAATAATCGTCGGTAGGATATGAATTAAATGTTTTCAAATATTGTCTGGATTTATTATTGAACGGTCATTGAACGCCTCTTCAGCCGGTCCGGCTTCTTCGAACTACTGCCATCCAAACTTGATGTTGCTCTTACTCTAGCTCCAATTCATTTTCATCATCACATCATCAACAGCCTTTAATAGTCCACTGCTGGACATAAACCTCTCCTTAGAAAGGAGGTTTGTGCCTACTATACCACGCTGGCCAGACGGGTTGGTATAGGGTTTGTTTCAAGTTTTCCTTCTCTCTGCAGTGCTGTTGTCCTGCGTAGTTTGCTCCCTGTGGGCTCTTACGACACCTACGGGATGAATAGGGGTGGTGACACTCTGTATTCTTCATCCGTCACCACACGGATAATCGTTTTCATCAGCAGCCTTTAATTGTCCACTGCTGGCCATAGGCCTCTCCTTAGAAAAGAGGTTTTCAGTAAATCAAATTATATTATCATCCTCATGATTACCCCATGAATGATGACTGTCAAATCAAATCAGTATTTTATCATCAAACGTCAAATCAATGGTACATTTCTGTTTGAAATACTATAGCATGACGTCAACCTAGCTACTGTCAAATCATTTAAATATATAATGTTGATTTGAAGGTAACAGTAAAAACATTTAACTGATATAATGGAAGACAATTGAGGCTGTTCTTAAAGATGTTATATTCAATGATTCAGGCGAAAATGTTTATTTTAAACCTTTTTTTTCACGCTTGGAATGCTTTTCGCGCCATACCCTCCGTTAGGGAAACGTAGGGCGTGTGTGGGACTCCCGAAAACGGTTCTACCCACTAAACCCCGCGGCGGCCTACCTCGGCAGTCGGGAGGAGCTCCAGGAACGCATCGGCGACTTCTGGAGTCCTCTCTGCCGTACCTCATGTCTGAGGCACATCCCGGAGAGATCGTAATCACAAAGGAATCTACTCTATTCCGAATGATTACATACCCAAGGACAGTCTATGTCAAAACTCTTTGCAATATTAACCATTATCTTTTGCCCGCAGCTCCGCCCGTGTGTATATTGCTAACGCGGTAAAAATTTGAGTATGTTACTCTCTGATAATGTAAGCTACAGTGGTGAAAGAATTTTTAAAACCGGTTTAGTAGTTTAGGCGTGCCAGCATAACAAACAAACTTACTTTTACAGTAATAAGAAAATATGGGTTGAAAATATATTTCTATCATTTATTTTCATGGTTAAGTTGGATATATTATATTCAAATGTGTCAAGTCATGATTTCATAATCAACCAAATTTCTATAGAAATTTGGAAATAAATTTCTGGAGAAATCATTTATAATATTAAAACGATGTTTATTTTTATGCCTTTTTTAGCATTTATACACCATTAAATTAGTCGAAGAAATATCAATTTTACCTTTTAATAATTTTAAGAGAAATAAATACAAGACTCAAAATAAAATTTTGAATAGGGTAGGCAGATAATGAACACGGTGATGTTTACTTAACTTTTGTGTTAGTTGAACAATATATTTTAATCTACCTTTCAAAAAACCTTTAATTGAATGAAAGTAGGGTAAATCGCTAGTATATATTGAAAGTAAAAGGCAGGTAGGAATAAAAAGCGAATTGTTTACATATCACAAAATGTGACCTATCATTTTCTACAACTGTCTTACAAAACTCCCGTATCGTACATTCTTCCTTCACTGTCCAAGGGGTAAATCTTTGAAACGCCCTTCCCCTAGAGATTAGGACGTCTACCAACCGAACAACCTTTAAGATCAGAGCACACAAGATCTATGGAGACTTGTTGACGGAGTCATCAGAATAACCCCTCGTCTCTTCATCATTCCAGGCATATATGTATGGATGTATGTGTGTATGTTTATGTTTTTAATATCTATAGTATTATATAGTAGGTATAAATTATATTTTCATCTATATATGTATGCCCTGTATATCTATGTAGTGTAACAACTGACTACAATTTAAATAATTTATCTCATTTTACACCTGCCACACACAAATCTCTGCATCACCCCAAGGTTGACTGGAAGAAAATGCTTATGGCATTAAGTCCGGTTTATGCAATTGTATTTGCAGGAAGTATAAATAAATAATCCCCTGATGATCGGAGGGGTGATTATTTTGGACTCGGAACAGATTAAAAAAAAGGCACGCACCGTCTCAGATAGTAGTAGCCAGGGAACCAGGTGTAACCTAGAACTGTAATCCTTGGCACCCTAACAGATTTATACTGCAGTCTAATTTTTTGTGTTCCTTGCTTTTCGAATGAGTCTACTCTTTTTGTTGGTGAACATATAACTTTATTTATAATTAAATTAGATGCTTCACAACTTTAATGTCAGAGGATACAGACGAGCAGACGGGTCACCTGATGGAAAGTGCCCATCACCGCCCATGAAAGTCTGCAACTCAGGAGTCCCAAACGCGTTGCCGGCCTTTTAGTAAGGAGTACGCTCTTTTCTTTCAACTCTTTTAGTTCCATTATATATTTGTTCCGTTAAATATGTCACAGAAAAAACAACGAAAACAAGTCTACTTAATTACTTACTATGACCAAGAAATACTTAACAAATTACTTTTTTGTATTTAAAATGTAATAATGCTAATTTAAAACGAATAAAGAAATAAACCATATCGGTTTTTTTTAATCTACTTACTAATACAGAACAAAAACATAATTAACTAACGACGATCACTAAAAGTAAGCGCGTACGCCGTTTATAACTACAACAAACAGTGTTAGGAGTTCAGTAGATTCACAACATTCGAAGCGACAGGACGTTTGCAAAAATGTGCACAAACTTCATTGACCCCGAGGCCATCTTATATGGAAACGACCAGTGGACACAGTTAGAAGAAAAATGGGGAGAACCAGTCGATTTGGAGACCGATGATGATCCCCCATCAGGGCTGCGACCAGTTTTTAGCACGTTGGATTTAATGAAGACTACATTCGACTCCGAGTGTCTTCTCAAAAAAGTCAGAAGGAAAGTTGGACGAAGACTATCGAAGAATGGAGTATTAGACTATAAAGATTTTTTAAAAGACTTGAAAAGTACCAGTCCTCCAAAGGCTTTTTACTGCGTCAATGGACAAATACTCTCTGCGTTGTCGGTAGAACAAATTTGTGATAAAATTGATGACATATTCAAATCAGTGGAGAAACTGTGTTCAGCTACAAGCACAATACGCAAGAAAGGAATCCCTGATGTGGTAGGCTGCAGCATTTCTGTCGGCGATCTTTCGTTTGATGACACACCTTCACAGGATCAGACGGATGAAGAAGAAAATGTTGAGGAGTACATCGATGAAGCATTTGAGCATTTTGAAGACTTGTCAAAGATGTCGATCGATGATGATGTGACGAGGGAATCGGTGACTACCCTGGTGAGGAAGTTCAGTTCTATACTGTCCAGTTCAACGGTGAATTGTAACCCTAGACGGCAAAGTGAGCGTAGTACCAAGTTCAAGGAATTAGCTGAGTTTTGGCAGAATCAAGCATTCAATGAAACGGTCAATAAATAACTCTTATTGTTTTTATTTAAGTTTTGTCTCGTGTTGAACGAAAGGTATTTATGTTTTCATCAGTACGTTATGTACTTTTTATTCATAATATAATGTATAGTAATAATCAAGAGGAATAAGTTAATTTAATACACTTAGAATTATGTTTTTCTATATAAGAAAGAGGGTAGTCCTGTATCTCTCGTAAATCCCTAATTAATTAAGTATAAGATAGTTATGTAAAATTTAGAGTAATATAAAATTAATGTTTATGGACTGAATAAAATTTTAATAATAATAAAAGTGTTGTTGTTTCATTTACAAGTACGTCGTTTTGACTTCACACATCTCAAACACGACAGTATGACCCCAAACTAGGCAAAGCCTGTGCTATAGTAACCAGACTGCTGATAAACATACTTATATATTTCTTAATTCATACATATCATTATAGATAAACTACACGCAGACACAGAATAAATAATAATAATAATATATTTTACTACATTCACCCAACGCCATCTAGTCCCAAACTAAGCAGAGCTTGTACTATGGGTACTAGACAACTGATATAAATATATGTATACTTTTTTTTTTGTAAATACATACTTATTATACATATAAACACCCAGACCAAATCAATCAAATCAATGTTCATGCACACAAATGTTTGACTTGAGCGGGAATCGAACCCGCGACCTTTGGAATAGCAGTCCGTTACGCAAACAACTACGCCATCTGGTCGTCAAATGACACAATACTTGTCCTGGGTGGGAATCGAAGCCACGAACTCCAGCTTAGGAGTCAGGGTCAATAACCACTAGACCAACAGGCTCGTTTTGTATTAAAAATATAAAACAGGTAAGTGGTCATAATTAAATATACAGATTTTTTAATCTCCATAAATTTTCTTATATCTTTATATTAACACTAGCTGGTACCCGCGACTTCGTTCGCTTGAATTTTGAAAAGCGCTGCCTTAGTGGGTTCGATGTTCGGGCAAAATTTAAAAGGGTTTTTCTGAAAAATAAAATAAAAAAATACGACCGCTACCTGGCAGTAAAATATTATAGAAATCGGTCGAGCCGTTTAGACGATTACCCGGAACAAACAGAGAGACAGACAGACAGACAAAAAAAATTAAACTGGTTTTTAGGCATAGGTATCGTGCAAATAACCGTGTGAGCATGAAAAAAAGTTTTAAAAGTGAGGTTATCGGGGGTCCACACCCACTGGTTTTGGACTCCCTATGTTCAGGCCGACTCTCAAAAGGCGACAACAAACCTGTGACTTGTAAGTTGCTGGTCTCCATGGGCGGTGTGAATTACTGTCAGGTGACTCGTCTGTCCCTTTGACCTTCTAAAACATGAAACAGACGGTATAGTCTCTTTAAATACTACTTTATCTTCCCTCTATTTTACTGTAAAATTATATCTACAAGGTATAGGGGAATTGGTGCTCATGCTCTCGAAGTTTCCACACTCCAGTATGGAGGTGGTCATGACGTAAACAAAGTCGTTAAAGCACCTATTACTTAATTACCTGAATACAGGACAACAAATAGAAATTCATGGTTCATTACCCAAACAACCGTGGCTTGGTTCTGTAGGTCCTCGCAGGACACGGGCCAAGTTAGATGCTAAATCACGAACGGTGCCTGTGGACCCCACGATGGAAACACACGAGACCTTATTTGTGGCGCCAACGCTTTTTCTGACAGGTCAGATGACAATCCCTACTAATATTATAAATGCGAATGGAACTTTATCTGTCTGTCTGTTACGCTTTCACGGCTAAACCGCTGAACCAATTTCATTGAAATGGCATGAAGATACTTTGATTCTTGAGGTAGGACATAGGCTACTTTTTATAGCGATAACCATCATACACGCGGGCGGAGCTACGGGCAAAAGCTAGTTTATTACATTTTCAAATTACTTCTGATTAATTTCAACAGGTCAACTTTTTCCTGGACTTTCCGCATGTTATAACTCGGTGTGCTCGTGGGTCACTGCTGTTGATTCTGATGTACAGGAGTCACAGTAGTGGGCGTATGGGAGGGATTAGGTGAGATAACAATGTGAATGGTCAAGTCTTATTTTTTTTATGATTGCAAAATTCTTGTAGTTTGTTTCTTTTGTCACAAGATCCGTAACAAAATCTCTGAGTAGTATAATGTAGGTAGAATACATAGTTTTTCTATCATAATAATACTTCCGCTACGAATACGATGTTAGTGGTAGTTTTGCTTTAAAAGGCTAATGTCAGGCCAGATATTTGTGCATTTTTTCTAATATGATTATTAACATTTTGTTATTACACGCTTTATATTAGCTTCACTTGTATGTTTGTATGTTTGTAACCGACTCCTTTGGGCGTGATTTTGACTGACTTTAAACGGTCAGAATTCGTTCAAACTTTGTAGATATATCGAGGACCGATGACAATACACTAATAGAAAAAAAATAGTTTAAAATACCTAAATAAAATAGAAAATAAATTCTAATAAATTTGAAAAAAAGCGTTTGGTGTTTTTTAGTTTTTATAAACTATTTTTTTTTTTGGTATTTGTTACATTTATTGTTATACATGCAGATACGAGAAGTAAAATAATTTTATAATAAGCTCATGTTCTGTAGATAATTTATGTTATACTTAAAAAAAATTAAATGACACAGAAGTCTAAAGATGAGCAATTACCGAAACCTACCTAGACTTGCAGGCTAAGCATGATATAATTTAGGATTAAGAGTTTTTATTATTATTTATTAATATATGACAATTCAAAACATATTTGTTGTGTTTAGAGTAATTAATTTGTATGAAATATTTGCACACCTGAAAGGGTAGTATACAGAAGCCAAAACTAGTATATAAGATCTTTGTATAACCTGTAATACGCAAATAAACAATTTGATTTGATTTGAATATTATATTTACGTCAAAAATACTCTACAACGTTTTTGTACAACTTATTTTTGTATTGTATTTGGGAATTAGATCGTAATAATTCACAATTTATTAAAATACGTCTCGCAAATTTATCGTTGTTTTTCTCCTGGTTGTACTTTTTTCCATCACATTTTTCGTAACATTTCCAGCGGTAATAGGTAACTTTCTAGCACTAAAATAGTTAAGATGTCACTTGTATTCCAACAGCGCTGTTACTTAAAGGCGGTACCGTTCCAAATTTCGCCCCGTATACCACCGATGTTTCGCGCACTGACCGGAAGCAGAAACTTATTCCGGCTTGTTCATGAGAGTTGGACACTTAGTCAATTTATGAGCACCAGCACAATAACGCGAGCGCAGCGGATCGGACTGAAGGCAGATGCTGCTAATTGAGTTAGCGTGATTAGCTATCTGTTTGTCCCGGCGGCCATCTTAATCTGTGACGTGACAGGGAGACGCTGGACGAAATTGAGGAATATTGAGGCAGCGTAAACAAATTTCTGTGAGTTAATTCAGAACAAATTGTGAATGAGTTTAATTAATTATTTGATATATACCTTTATTTTACATTTGCGAAATTTATTAAACATAACATAAACATATATTTTATTCATAATAACTCATACAACAATAGATGATGATAGGAATAATAAATACTTGAGTTGATTCTTAAGGGATTTGGACACTTTACTAAGGTGGCAAAAAATATATACAGCCTGATTGCAGCCTTTGTAGTGGGGATAGTACCACCAAAGGTCATAATAGCGTCCACGTAGTTAGATAAAATGACTTTCGGGCCAGAGTTCGATTCCCAACCAGGACAACTGACTGCTTGATTCTGTAGGTCGGTGTAATTTATCTGTAATATTTAGAAATATATAAATAAGTTTCTTTGCAGTCTGCTAACCATAGCACAACTCTGCTATTTTGGAATGAGACGACCGTATCTGAAAACGGCAGACCGTATCTCTTCAGCATTAGATAATAATATGTTACAATGAAACATCAGTTTGAAGTAATCAACTAAGAGTCACTAACAGCCCATTTTTTTATGTTAGAGGGGGCAGACGTGTCACCTGGTGGAAAGTGACCATCGCCGCCCATGAACGTCTGCAACAGGAGTCACAAACGCGTTGCCGGCCTTTTAGGAAGGAGTACGCTCTTTTTTTGAAGGTTTGAAGGCCGTATCGACCCAGAAATACCGCAGACGATAACCGGTAATTTACTCAATAAATATAAACAATATAATTTCAGTATGAGTTTATTAATAACTAAGGGTGGAAGTGGAAGCAAGTGGTTGCATTTAATTAGGTGCAAGATCCGGGCAGTAAGTTGTGGTGCATTGGATGGTTGTAAACTTGGAATATTAGTGGACTGGACATAAAATGGACTTGCATAACCCCCTGTATATATTAAGTATGTGTTGTCTGGTTGAGTATCTTGTTAATGAGATGGTGTCTTAGTCAATATCCCGTCCCGTCAAAAGCCCGTCTATAAGGTGATGTTTTTTATCGATTTAGGAATATATCCTGTATCGCGGGGGACTTACAACATATATGAAACGGACTCAAAGAACACCCAGACTCAGAACAACAATTTGTGGATCACACAAAATGTTGTCCCTGTCGGACCCACAACACTCAGAGTAGTAGTTGAGCGGCGTGGCGACCGCTTAAACCAATACGCCATCCGTGCAGTTATACATCATCATCAGTATCATCATCTGGTTGGCGGTTGGTACACGGTCTTTACATTCATGTAAGAATGTACGCACAACCTACATGGTATACACCAGATCCTGGATTAATTTATCCAGTCTTGGATTGGGAAATAATAAAACAATAAAAAAGAAAGGAGGTAACTAAAGATAAGTAATAGAACACAAAAGAGTTTTTTTAGGCAATAGTTTTATGTGTCTCCCGGTTTTTAATTTGTTTCTTAGCACACATCTCCGAAATTACTGAATGGATTTTCCCAAAGAATGCACTGACAGAGACGGAGTATAATTGAGATCATATATATTTTTACATATTTTGGCATTAAAATCAATAATACTAACTAAAAAAACA